AGTCCGTGATTTTATATTTTTATTTTCCTCCTTGAACACAGGGATCGCTCCGAGCTGCTCGAGGAAGCTAAAAAGATGGAGGCAGCCAAGTTCCGATACATCCTGCCCGTGTACGGGATCTGCGAAGACCCCCAGGGGCTGGTCATGGAGTACATGGAGACCGGCTCACTGGAGACCCTGCTGGCCAATGAGCCGCTGCCCTGGGAGCTCCGCTTTCGCATCATCCACGAGACCGCGGTGGGAATGAACTTCCTGCACTGCATGAACCCACCGCTGCTCCATCTGGACCTGAAGCCGGCCAACATCCTGCTGGATGCTCACTATCACGTCAAGGTAGAGAGTTTGTGATGAAGCTTAGAAGGGAGGAAACACACGCACACCGTTTGTTGTGATCTTTAGTTTTGGCCCAGGTGTGTGTTTGTTTTTAGTTGTTTGCACGATCCTTTTGCTTTCTGTAAGTTGTAATGGGATAAGCAATATGTTTATGGAAATGTGATGATGTCATGTTTTAATGCTAGAAGAACGATCAGACATGAAGTCAAACCACAGCCCTCTTTGTTTTCAAACTGGAGGAATCCCAGTCACGAGGTGCTTTTCTGCTCCCCTTCATCGTTCTTAAATTAGTCCTGCACATGTTTTCTGTCTACAGGTGTCTCCAACCTCTGTCCAACCAAAACAGCTAAGCTGTACTAAGACTAATGGGTGGGAACCGTCATTTCTAGTGTTTAATACCTGGATGTAAACACCTCACCTGGGCTTGTCCCAACAGGATTAATTTAGCTCCTATTAAATCTCCTTGTCTGTGTGTGTGTGTGTGTGGGTGTGCACTCCCCAACACAAATCTGAAGGGCCTCTCCTCTCCTGCAGGCTGGGACATGGCCGGGTTGCCCTCATCATACCGCTGAGTGCACATAATAAGAGCTTAGCAGCCTGTCATAGTCAGCGGGCAAAGTTAGTCATCACTGCCGCGGCGTTTCATGAGAAAGGCAGAGGGGTTGCTCTGTTGGAGGGTCTTATCTGATCTTTCTGTCTCAGATATCTGATTTTGGGCTGGCCCGCTGGAACGGCTTGTCACGGGCTGATGACATCAGTAGAGACGGCTTCTGCGGCACTATTGCCTACCTCCCCCCTGAGAGCATCATAGAGAAGGACAGAGTGTCGGACACCAAGCACGATGTTTACAGGTTGGGCTTTTTTTCATGCACTTTGCATGCAAGCTTTTTGTGTGAACGCAGGGGTTTTTTGTTGTGTGTTCAGTTAAGCTCTGACTCATACTAAGATTAATCACATGGATTTGGTATGATACTTTGTCTGTTAAAGGAAATAAGTAACTTATTCCTACAGTGGAAATGCAAATTTCATTCCCTAACGTAGAACCTGTAGAGTAGGGTAAATGTACTTTATTTACACACTGTCGTCTACAGACTGCTGCACAACCTGACATCTCAGACCTATTCCATGAACAATTTATATATATTTATATTTATATGTATATTTTTGCCTGTTTTCCAGTTTCTCTATCGTGATCTGGGGGATTCTCACACAGAAGAAACCCTATCAAGGTGAGCCAGCCAACCGTGTCTTTTATGATCACCAATGTCAGTCTGATAGTTTAGCTAGAACAGCAGGTCTAATAGTTCGTGTGGCATGCCTCCCCTACCTCTGTAACAGCTGTAAACAATCAGTAACAAATAAAAGGTCCATGACGAGTTATCATCAGAAATCAGGGGGTGGCTGTAGCTCAGGTGGCAGAGCGGATCAGCCACTAACCAGAA